GGAGCCGTGTGCGGGAGAACCGCGGTGTTTGTGATGGGGAGGGGGAAACAGTATCAAAATGTCCTCGCTGCACGTGTGGAAACCGCTTGTCTTGGGTGGCATTTTTAGGCAGAGGTGAGCGTTTCCCAGCCCCACCATCCTCTCACTCCACAAGGTGCAGGGCTCTAGGGCCAGGTTAGTGGCAGAGTGCCCTCGGGGCAGGCAATGCCCAAGCTGAGGAGCCAGACCCTGAGAAGAGCCAGGACCCAGGGCTGTGCCCAGGGGCTGTTTGCCAGCGTGGCCCTGCAGTGACACCGCTGGAGGTGGCTGCACCGAGGTGTTCCCGCACCCCTGCAGTCCTCAAGATGTGAGCATCGCTGGGGCTGCAGCTCAGCTGAGCCTCCTCAAGGAGCCTTCCTCCCACATGCTCCAGGGGATAACCCTCATCCTCCTTTCCAATGGAGGAGGAAACCTTCACAGATGTGTGGCAGGCAGAGGCCTGACTTAACTCCTTGTTACCCTGGCCTCTCACAGCCCTCCTCCCAAAGGTGCACCTTCCTAATTCAGCTCCTGGGGAGGGAATTTCTCCAGCCTTTTGCTCTTGGCCAGGACCAGTCTCAGGTTCTCTTTGCTGCCCATCTTCAATTAAGGGAAGACATGCCTGGCTGGATCATTTTGGGATGGTTCTTGTGGCCATTTCTGGATGGCAAAGGACACACATAAGCCCCTTCAGGATGAACCCTGCTCCCCTGAGAGGAAGTAGGAACAAGGTGTGTTGGTAGGAACAAGGAGGTAGGAAGAAGGACCCCAGGGTGTCCCAGCTCTGAGCATCATCCTCTTGCTTGAGATAATGGGTTGTAGCTCCAAGCAGGAGTAGGACCATGCTCAGGTGGGGTTAAGAAGCAGTGTGCAGCAGCACCAGCAGCATGGTCAAAGCTCTCTTAGTGTCTGGAGGTCTCTGGCTAATTCCTCTCCATCACAGCCACATGCCTGGCAATGTGGTGAGCGAACATCTCCCACATTGTTTCTTGGAATGATCATTATAGACTGATGGAAGGAGAGAAGCTGGCAGGCTGAAATGTGTGCATGAAAACAGCCCCCGCAAGGTCAGTTTAAATAAGTCTCCATCATCTTTGCGAGCTCTGCATGGGAGAGATCATGTCAGGTCCATGCCATGGCCAGCGCAGAGGTGGTCTTTGCTGCTCCACTCCTGACACATCATCTCAGCTCCTGGCGAGTGTCACAGCCCCAGCTCTGCTCCTGGGCACCTCCTCACTCATTCCAGGCCAGCCCATGGTTGTGTCCCCCAAGCCCTCTAGACCATGAGTCCCTGCCAGGCAGGGGACGGATGTTTGCTCAGCAGCTCAAGCCATGGCTGGTGATTGAACCCAGTGGGAACATCCAGCACCAGCACAGAGCCTGGCTGCCGGGCACAAAGCCGTTGCCCCAAGG